GAGGGAGTAGGGTTAGGAAAACAAAAGATTGGATTTTTAGGCCCAGGTTTGTTCCTGTATAAATGACTTTAAACATGCTAGTAATTACCCTCATCTGAAAAAATGAGTGTGACTTTTTTCTAAAGAAGCATGTATTACTCTCACCATCAGAAATTGGATGATAAATGCTATTTTTTCAGATGAGGCTAATAGCTATTCCATTATGACTAAGTTCCTTGAGGGTTTGTATCCTGTATCACCTGGAGCAGTGCTTTCATATGGAGAGACTCTCAAAAAATGTGTTGAAATCGTTGGTGTCTCAAGGTGACTTCTGTAATTCATTCTAGGTCTGAGATCTGAAATAAGTGATTTTTGCTTTGTCTTCAGATTATGTTAAATTGCTGTAACAGGAGGTAGACTACTTGTTTTAAGAAGGTAGTCTTAAGATATAGCTTAATGTAAAGATTATCATGCTGACTATAAAGTTCTTCATTATATTTGGATCGTATCTAAGTATTTCTTAATATTTGGTAGAATATTTACATTTGAAGACAAGTATATAATTAGAGAAAGTGAAACGTACCTTAAATTTTTTTCTACTATGTGAACAAATTCTCAATTCCTGATGTATTGGTGCTTTAGTTTCAGCCAAATGTCATCATTTTGACAATTTTTTCCTAGCTTCAAAGAGCACAAAAATATCATAATTCTGCTTACTCCTAATTTTCATTATTATTCTTATAGATACCATCTTTGAGTTACTTGATAATTTGTGAATGAGTACATGCTTTAATAGGCATTGGATTTGACTTCACTCTTGTGCATTATACTACAATCTATTGTTACCTAATTTATTAATAATTGTATAATTGCAGCTTAATATCTCTTATAATTTTAATTATTATCAAGAAGAATGACATCATTTAATTTAACTCAAAATTCAGAAGGATGGATGAATGACAAATTAATAATTTACCACCTTTGCATAATACTGAAACATAGACTATTAGAAGGATTGATGGCAGAAAAGGTTAACAAATTTTAGCAGCTTTCATTAGCTTTACATGGTCATATGTTTGTGGTGCTGACTGAAATAGGCTTCGTAGGAGATCTCAGTCTAGGGAACTAATTACTTGTGCCGATTGCTGCACTGATGAATAGACCCTCATTGTATCATTCCCCTGAAGACGAGGAGCAGCCTGTGATTCACGACTGCATCCTGGCTGATATTTGATAATAATTTTAACAGATAAATGTAGGTAGGCAGAATGATGAAGTGCCTATCCAAGCTCCAGGACTATCAAAGCCATACACATAACCATCTGTGTACCGCTTTTCCCCCTCTCAACCTACGGAGAATTTGATTTTATTAATTGAGTTCAGACAACTGTTGTCTTTTGCTTGTATGTAGATTCTGTAGGTATTTCTTATTTTTTTTAAGTGATATGCTAGTTTTCATTTAAAATGTAGACGGAACAATAACAAGAAAGAGTAAGAGCGTTTTACTCTTTTTTATCTGAGCACTGCAATTCTACACTTTTTTTGTATTCTATTTTGATTATGTTATATCTCCTCTTTATGCTTGATCAGAATCAACAAAGGAAATCTTTGATGTTCTTATTGTCTATCCAGCTTTCTCAGAAAAGAGCATGGATTCCTATTGTTTTAAAAATATATATATTTTTAATAGTGCACTGTTGCCTATGCTTTTATTAATCTGAGATATATTTTAATCGGTAAGTATTTATAAATCTTGAATTTTTAAAGGTAGCATCTTTAAAACATCAAAATAGGGGTACCTTTTATGTGGGTATTTTGGGACTGTCAGTTGGTCAAGACTACTAATTTGTCAAAGCTGACAGGTACAATTTTATTAGCTCATGAAATACAAGTGAGATTTTATTTTGTATTAGTCATTCCTTGCAGAAGTTTTGATTAGGAATTTAAAATTTTTTATTATCAAAACCTATAGGTTTTCATGCTGTGTATCTTTAGTGAATAAATATATTCTGCAGAGACTTTTTTTCCTTACTGTACTGAAAAAAACTTAATGTTAGTATTTTCTTTATAAAATATTTTCCAGCATGTTAGATCATGATTAGTTAACAGGAGAGAAAGTTGACATTTATATATTGCCATATAAAAGATCTACATAATTGGGGAAAATATAGTAGAACTTGAATTGCGTGAACCCTTTAAAAAAATACATTTCCAAAAGTATGCTTTTGATACAGCAATTATTGCACATCATATAGCATGTAGTTTTTAATTAAATATAAAAACAGAGTACATAAAACAGAAATCCAATCTGATTTGCTTGAAAATAGATTGCTATTTCACTCTATAGGAATGGTTTATTTAAAAACAGTAAATGGAAAAGAAATGCATTTTCTTGTGTTGTTCTAAGCCTCAGGGGCTAAATGTAATGAATATTTTAAGAGATTATTTTAATTAAATTCCTGCACATCTAAACAGAGTAATATTTTATTATCACATACATAACCATGTAACTGAGATATTCATTAAAGTTAACACTTTCTGGACCAAGAATTCATGGTATGATTTACTGACCTTGTGCAAAAAGGCACAAATTAGGAAGAAAAATGAAGGGGGACAGACTTTGATTAATATAGGTAATGCTATACCATATTTATAATAGCCTTTTCCCTATTCTGGTTTATAAATGCAGCCACAGAGAAAGGTGCCCTGCTGAGGCTGAAATGAGGCTGAAATCAGAGCACATGCCAGGAGAGTGTGGGGAAACTGATCACACTGTCAGCAATTCATTTCAAAATGATGTATTTAGTGCTCATTTCACCTTCCAAGAAAAAGGAAAAGGAGTTCCTTAGACTGGAAGGTGATATTGTTATTTTCAAGGACATACCTAAGTTAAAGATTGCAGAAAGGGGTGTGTGAGGTGGAGGGAGAATTAAGAGGAAGGGGAGGGGAAAAAAAGGCAGAGCAAACAAGGAGAGCTTTATGCAGAAATTCAGTGCTACCACGCTGTTTGATAATTGCTAACATATGTGGCTTCTCTGTTTCATTGTAGTCGTCCTCGTGAGTTCTGGCGCCTTGACTACTGGGAAGATGACTTGCGGCGCCGGCGACGATTTGTGCGTAACCCTCTAGGATCGACACATCCTGAAGCGACACTAAAAACAGCCGTGGAACATGGTCAGTGTGCAAACCACTCCTTACCAGTAGCAGCAGGTATAGCACTTGGTAATAATGAAGAGCGTAGCTTCATTAGTCCAAGGCACTGTGAAATGGTCTACTGCCACATTTCAGAGTTAGTCACCCCAGAAAAAGAAGTTAAATTTTTTATAGTTAGTGTAGGGTCCTATTAAATTATGGTGTCAATAGTATTTATTTATCATGTTACACATGCAGAACTTACTTAACATACGCCCTTTGTTTCAGAGCAGGAGGATAAAATATTTCTCCTTTTAAGTGACACATTCAGCTTTGAGTAAATTAATCCAGGACGCCTGCCTTAAATCCTTGAATATCAGGAAGACAGCATTTACAAACCAAATAGGTTTCCAGGTTCTGTTGTGTGTATATGGTTTTCCCCCAACCGTGGTATTTTAGCATGAGATTATGAAGTGGGAGAGATGATAATAAATGTCCAAGTGCCTCGATACTTTCTGAGCCTTGATTGTAGATGGCTGTGATAGATGGATCTTGGAAAAAGAGAATAGACATTATTTTCAAATGCTCCTGTTCTGCATCATCTTGTTATCAGAGCTTAGCAAAACATTTTTTCCCCTTTTGATGTAACGCATGTCACTCTGGTTCAGTTTAGGTAGCAGCCTGATGAGCAAATTGGAAAAACTGAAAATCAAGCCCTTTGGATTTGATAATTGACTCCCTTTGATCATAGGGTTTCACTTAATATTTTATAATTTTTGAAAGCCACTTAAGATACAGTAAGAGGGCAAATGCCCCCTCCACATTAAAATTATTTTTATTTTATAAAATATAAGTGGATTATTTTTTAATAAAATAGTTAATTCCCCTCTTTATAGGGTATTAGTTTAACATGCAGCAGCTTATAGTTAAATGATAGTGTGTAGTATACAAAATAAATGTTACATTACATTCAATGAGAATATTAAGATTTTAGATTAAAAGTCTGTGATCTTAGATTTGGCCTCAGTCAGGCAGCTTAACCTCTTGCACTCAGCCTTNTATATACTTATTTCAATATTATTGACTACATTCTCTATGCTGTACTTTACATCCCTGTCACTATTTTGTAACTGCCAGTTTGTACTTCTTAGTCTACTAAAGGGCATTTTAGTTGGGATTTGTTTTTGTTTGTTTGTTTTTTTAAATATTAAAAAATTTTTCCAATTAGTTGACATGGAATAATATATGATTTAGGGATACAGCATAGTGATTAGTCACTTATAGCTTAAGAGATGATCATCCCTTTAGTTCTAGTGCCCATCTGACACGATACATAGTTATTACAATATTATAAACTATATTCTTTATGCTGTGCACTACATCCCTATGATTATTATGTAACTATCAATTTGTGCTCCTTAACTCCTTCCTCTTTTTCACCCATTCCCCAACTCCTCTCCCATCTGGCAGTGCTGAAAATGTTCTATGTATCTATGAGTTTGTTTGTGATTTGTTTGTTCATTTATCTCGTTTCCACATGTAAGTGAAATCATATGGCATTTGTCTTTCTCTGTCTGACTTACTCTACTAAGCATGATACCCTCTAGGTCCATCCATGTTGAAACAGATGGCAAGATTTCATTCTTTTTATAGCTGAGAAATATTCTATTGTATGTGTATACCACCTCTTTATCCATTTACCCATTGATAGACCCCAGGCTGCATCCACATCTTGGCTATTGTAAATACTACTGCAATGAAGACATGGTGCACACATCCCTTGGAAGTAGTATTTTGGGTTTCTTTGAATAAATACCCAGAAGTGGGATTAATGGGTCCTTCTTGACTCTTGTTATAGCCTTTGATTTAAAGTCCATTTTGTTTGCTATAAGTATTGCTGCACCAGCTTTTGTTTCCATTTTCATGGAAAATCTTTTTCCATCTCTTTACTTTAAGTCTGGATCTAAAGTGAGTCTCTTGTAGGCAGCATATGTAAGAGTCTTGTTTTCTTATCCATTCATCCACCCTACCTTTTGTTTGGCGCATTTAATACATTTACATTTAAAGTAATCATTGGTAGATATATATTTATTGCCATTTTATTATTCATATTTTTTACTTTTTTTTTCTTCTGAAAGNCTTTCATGTTTCCTTTTTTTCTGTGGTACTTATTGTCACTTCAGAATGTGAATAATTGCTTCAAAATTGAAAGTACTAGAAAGTTTCTAGGAGATGACAGCAACTATTGAAAGAACTGGCTTCCAACTGTCTTAAAAACTTGGAAGTGTAACATAATAAGCCTCTTCCCCCCTGTGGATAAGGAGCACATATTTTTTGCTAATTTATCTGGCTTGCAAAGCACACTATATATTTTTTTCTTCAATGCTATTTAAAATCAATTATTTGCTTTCACCGATATTTTCCTGAGAGTTCTGGAAAAAAGGCAGGAAGTGTTGGATTATACTGCATTGCTCTTGCATTTAAGCTTTTAAATAATTTATTTAAAGATAAAAATGTCATACTATGGAGGCTGATATTTCTTTGCTTTTTCCTTCTGTCTGTATAACTTATAAACTATCTTAAGAATGACCATAACAAAAGTGTGATATAGGGTCAGAGTTAGAGAGAGATGGAGGCTCTAAATGCCAAAGCAGTGGTTTTTGGCTATGAGATTGCTTCATGTATATGCTTATAAAGTAGTTCTTCCACATTTGGGGCAAGTGATAGACGCTACTAGAAACATGCAGTGAATATTATTAATAGCTTCCAGGTTTTTCCAGCTACACATGCTGACCTTGACTACACAATACTTATAATTTAACTTAGTTTTACTTATCTGTTAAAAAGATCATAACTTTTCCCCGCACCCTCTTCCCGCAATCTAATGGCCTTACTATTTCAGTTTGGGGTAATGCTAATGCTAGAAAAGTTATGTGTTCTGTAATTGGTATGTATTGGAATGTGTGCTAATCATGCATATAATTTATAAAAAAATGGTTAGTCCCAT